ACCTCAACCCCAGTGCTCCCCGAAATTTAAGAAACTTTGTCTTCCATACACTTTCTCCTGTCAAGGCTGAGGCAGCAAAGGAATCACCTAAGCCACAGGTAGGGAATTTTAGAATTGATTTGGTAGCTTTCCAAAGCAGAGTTTACTTTTTTAAATTAAAAAAAAGTGTGTGTGTGTGTGTGTGTGTGTGTGTGTGTGTGTGTGTGTGTGTGTGTGTGAGTGAGTGAGATATCCAGCTTAAAGGCTTATGTTGCAGTGTTAATTTTGGATTCCCCAGTAAGGTACAAGGCATATATATTTTTTCTGTTGTTATTCATCCATGATTTAACTGAGTTAATCAATTAGCTGAAGAGCTAATTGAAGGCAAGCGCTTGTATGAGAGTCTTGAGCTACCTTGACTCTGTCTTTGCTCTCTAGGTGAGGAGAAAGGCTCCATCTTTAATGAAAACGCCTTCACCTAAGCGCCTCAAAACAAGTGAAAGAACTTCAGAATTGAAGCAAAGTATCTTCAGGTACTTGGAAAGCTAACACCATCAAGGGTGCCAGCACCTACATTGAGACTGCTTTGAGAAGTTTTTGGCATTGAAAGAGAAATCAATGCTCACATGGGTGATTCTTCCCTTCCTTCATAATCAGTGCATTGAGACTGTCAACACAGATTCCAGGTTTTTCCTCTGCACGGTTCTGGACATCTCTTTCCTAGTAGTGTTTCCTGGGTTGGCCACTAATTTTAATTCTGCAGTGTTTACAACATTGACTTGGGTGAAGATTTACTTCCTTCATTAAATATTTGACATTTTATCCTAGCAGCTTCCTGGGTTGATACCTCTTTGTGAAAGGGGTGGTTAGAGGAGGAGAAGAAGGAGGAAAAGTGTGGCATTATAGAAAATTAGAGAAAGCAGTGACTGTGAATACCAGCATGACTCCTTCACACCCCTATGATCTGTACCACGGTGACTGGAACTCAGTGAGAGGCTTCTTGGAGGACCTAGGAACCAAGAGATGGGCTGTTCCATTAGTCTTGCCCCTTCCATTTTTTTTGTATGCCTCTTCCCAAGACAGCCCAAGTTTCCAAATAAACTTTGCTTCCTCTATAATAAGGACTCAAACTGGTACCCAAGTCAGAAAGACCTTGGCCCCAATTTTGGGGACTATGAGGATGAAGATAAAAGGATTACTTACACCCAGAGTCTGTCCATATGAGATATCCCATGGGGCAGAGAGCCTGCTCCCGGGACTGAATTATTGATTTTAAACAGTGTTGCTCCAAGACCTCCCTTCTCATCCTGACAAAAAGAAATATAACCATTATTTATTGTATTCAACTGGGTGGAGTTCATCACCAGTCAGAGGACAACTTAATGCATCATTACTTATTTTGAGATACCACCATGAAGTTTAACCAAAATAGTGTTAAGAGAATTGCCATCACTCCTGAGTTTCCCTAAACTACCATGAGGCACTCAGATTTTAGACAGATATATATTTTTTGTTCTCTCAGAACTGAGCAGCAATGTTGTTTTAGGGAAACATTCCATGTGAATGATGAGGTTTCACTGTTGGGAGCTAGACTTGGGAAGTTGGATGAATTACACCAATTTTTGTTGGCAGGTGGGAAACACCAATTTAACTGATGCAATTAGGGTGTCGGTGTTCTCCATTTCTTTCTAATACACAAGATGCTGACTTTGACAGAATTTATGTTTGTATATTTGTAATCTTTAATGGGAAAAATGTATATAAAGGTGTTTTAATATGTATGTAGTTTTTCAATAAATCTCAATGCCTTGAAGGCAGGATTTGCTGTCCAGATTGAGTGTCTGTCTAATATTGAGGAACATGTTGAACGCTGTTTTTTTTCCTCACATTTAATTTTTATTTTGATTTTCTTAATGCTTTTTTTTTTTTTTGCAAGGAGCATTTTATTTTCAGCCTATCATAAGGAAGCCCTCTGGGTCTAGAGTGAGAGAGACTGTTGTAGTTGTCCCTACACTGGCTTCTCAACTCCAGTGAATTTATCAAATGACCAAATGTTTTGGGTTCAGTGCAGGTAAGAACAGTTTATATAAATAGTACCTGTTGCTACAGCCCTGTGATTGGCAGCCACGAGTCCAAGGTGAGAGTTATTTCTCTTCACTTTGAGTCTTCTCAACAGTGCTGGGCAAAAGAGAACAGGCCAGGAGGGCTTGATATTTCTCCCCCATTGCTTTCCTGTATCTTTTTTGTGGAGAGAGATAGAGACTCTTTGGAACTGACCAAATCAGAGCCTGAGAAATCTGGGAAGCAAATGGTTTCTGTTCTAGCCTCCAGAAAGAAAGCACTCTTTGGAAAAAGAAAAGTTGAATCTTAAGGTCTGAGTTATTTTTCCTCATGCCAGCATAGCTGTCATAAGTTAAACTAAGCCTTGATCTTGGTAACAGATTTGAAGTGGAGAGTTGTGACCTTACTCATATGCCCTATGTCCAAAGCATTGAGCCATCAGCCTCAGCTCTGTTTTAATGAAACTGAGGCCCCATGACTTGCTGCTATGGCTCCTGCTAGGACTAGCTCTACTAGTTTGGAAATTACATACCTGGAGGGATATGAGTCTGGGAGACAGAGTATGCTCAGTTTCAGTCCTTTTACCTCTTCCTTGTTCTACACAACAGCATAGGGACATATGATGTTTACTTCATTTAAATAGGTCTCTGATCTCATTAATTGTGTCCATGATTGCATAAGCCATTCTAGGGTCTTTTCCATTAAGCACCAGGTTATATTCACCAAAGCCCTATAGAGACAAGGTGCTCAGCTCCCTATGTATCCCTTATCTTCACTGCTTCTCTGCAAACTTTGCTCCACTTCAAGAATGTCTAATGGCCCAGACTGGGTATTTTTGATCTCTATCTCTTAGAGTTGTCTAACTGACAGGGCTTCCTGTCCTGAGACTTGTGCATCTAAGGATAAGGGAGAGTGCTTCTGGGAGGAGTATTGTCATGATATCTGATTATATCATCGTCGAGATGGTGTTATATCTTCTACCTTGTATCCTACTCACTGCCTGGCACATGGCCTGGAATGTAGTGTTGCTCAGTAAATGTTGAATGAATAATACCACACCTTTCAGAGCCTCCATTTATATCTGTAAAATGAGGATAGTAATTCATCCTGTCTCAGGGCTGCTGTGAAACTTAAGTTGAAAATGTACGTGAATACGTTATGTCAAGTGCTACTCCGTAACCATAAGAAATCGCCAATGTCACAATAACATTATGTTTTGTGGACCACTCCTTAAAGGCCCGTTGTCTCATAAGCTTCTCAAAGTTAACATTTTTTAAAATGTAATCTTCTCTAAAAACCTGCTAATCCTCCTGTGTTTCCCATTTCAGTAAAAAGTACCTCCACACACCCAGTCACTCAGGCTAGAAACTAGAAAGACATTCCTGACACCTACTTCCTTACTCCCATAATCAGTCTCTAGGTCCTGTTATTTCTACTTTTTTATTTATTTTTTAGGCGAGGCAACCCTTGGTTGACCTCACAGATTGCAAGGACCTTGTCAGCTTACAATCCCTAATTTTTAAAATTTTTTACACCTACAGCACCTGGTCTTCCTAGGTGGTCTCCCATCCAAGTACTAACCAGGCCCAACCCTGCTTAGCTTCCGAGATCAGATGGGATCGGGCTTGTTCCGGGTGGCATGGCCATAGACAACTACCTTTGAATTACATCTTAAATCAGCTCACTTCTTCCAGCTCAGTAGCCAATGTCCTCTTCCAAGATTCATAACTTGCCAGGTTACTACAAATGTATATTTTGGGTAGTGCCATGCCTGGCACATAGAATAACTCAATAAATATTTATTGAGCAATACGTGATCTGAAACCTGGAAGAGTTAATGGTGAAAAGCTTGCAGCTGAATCCCCTACAAAGAAGCTTTCTAGTATAGGATAGAATAGAGGTGGTTGCTATGTGAGACCTTAAGTCCTTGCTCGGCAACTGACAAGTGACATGACCTTGGATAAGTCATTCTCTCTGAATTTTTTTCCTTAACTGGAAAATGAGGCTAAATTGAAATGGCTTGATTTAGTTCACAGGGTGATGGTTAGGATCAAAGGGACAAATTAATGTGAAATGACTAAGGCCGAGCTAATGCCGGCTATTCCACTGCTGAGGAAGGGGTGGTGCTGATGCCTCTCTATAGTCTGGCTGAGTGGGAAGGAGATGCCAAGCCTCACCAGCCTCCACAGCTTCCAGCCCATGGGCCGATCTCAGGACCAGTGATGGCTAGCTCTGTGCCAGGACTTGCGAGGGTGGTCGGGATGGAGATCTGCTCGTGTATCTGTACTCACAGTGAGCTGGAGAAACAGGTACATCTTTGTATATGGCTGACGTCACCCCAGATTTTATTTTTTGAGACCGACGTACCAGATATCTCCGTCCCAAGTAGTTGTATCGTCTTAGGCTGTACTACCCACGTCTCCTCTTTCTGTTCTCTTTTTTCACCTTAAAGATTTTTCATTTTCAGTTTATTGATCTAGTTCTTGCCTGTGGTGGGATACATAATGGGAAAAGGGGGTTCCAAGTAGCATAGCCTAAGGGTGATTGGCAGAAACTATGAGGCTGGACACCTGGGTTCTTTCCCTTTATTCTAGAAGGAATGGCAATGTTATTCTTGATAGCTGGTGGGCTAGAGGTGGAGGTGAAGAGGCAGCTCCAAGCTCCAGGCTGGAGAATCACTGGACCTAGTCTAAGGGGTGGAAAGTGCTGGGGCAGGGTTGGGAGTGAGTTGTGTAGATTTTTCATCCTCCACCTCTCTTTTTCTCAGAGGCTGAAAGAAGGAAAATAGCTGACTGCCCACCCCTCTCTTTGTCTTGTCTAATTTAACTTATGTTATTTATCAAATAGACAGGTTATTTGGAAAACCAGATGGACCCAGGCAAAAATCATCTGAGTTTTCCAAATGTGAAAAATTAGGTTCTGGGGGCCCAGGAGGAAAGGCGTGTGTGTGTGTGTGTGTGTGTGTGGTTGGGAGGGGGTGAAGAGTATTGAGAGTACTTTTATGTCTCTGTAGTCAGACCCAGAAATTGCTCCATGACATCTAAGCTTCCCCCCTCCCTCTTTTTCCTTCAAGTTCTTTATGATTAGAATATAAATGAGAAAACTAAAATCTTTATGTTGGTGGCTGGGAGTGGTGAAAGGTTTAATTGGCCAAGGATGAGAACTTGTCAGGGCTATAATAGAACAGCTGACAGCTTTCTCTGTCTCTCCAGCTCTCACCTCCTACAGAGCCAGTGGGTTAGCAAGAGGTACAGGGTACAGAGAGATTTCTGGAGCAGAAACCTCCACTTCTTGTCCCTTCAGTGTTGTTATCTCAAAATGATCACAGCAACTGGGAAAGTTAGATGTAGAAGAAGAACTGACCCTTTCATAACTTCCCAATGATCAGATGGCCAAAGAACACTGGAGATTAGAGGTTGTCTCTCCATTAAATATCCAGGGAAGGAGCTGGCTCTGTGGTTACAACCAGGAATGTTAAAACCCATGGTTCTGCTACCTCCAAGCAGCAGAGCAGCAACCTTATTAGGAAGGAATTGAAGCAGCAAGTGATGGAGGCACAGTTCTTGGCTGCAACAGAGGAAACGTTCTGGCTGAAGGCAGAGCAAAAGCCATCTCTCTACATACACACATGCACATGCACGGAACAGAGCCAAGACCCTTTCTGGCCCGAAGGATCTGGCAGCAGCAGTAGCACTTGTCTCATTGTGAGTGTCATTTTTTAAAAGTGTTGTTAGACTGTGAAAGCCACTTAATAACTTGATCTCATCTGAATAATCTGAGTTAATACTAATGCCACAGTTGTGAGGATTAAATAAAAAGACATTTGTAAAGTGTCTGCCTCCAGGCCTAGCACAGAGTAAAACTCAGTGAAAGTCAGTTGAATGAATTAATCCTTGAATCCAAGCATTAAGGCTCCCTTGACCATTTCCAAAGGCCGGAGTATAACAGCTTGAATATCTGAGACTTTTGGGCTGTCTCATTGGGCCTGGAGCCTGAGAAATGACCTAACCCTGCCATTCATTTAACACATGTTTAGTGAGTATCTATGGTGTTTAGGGTAAACCTCATGATGAACCACCCCATCCCTCTTCGATGAAGGCCTTGTTGGGCCAGCTACTGGGAACACTTCCCTCAGACAGCCTTAACCAGTCAGCCCCTTTGGGGACTGCCTCAGCTGCAGAGAACACCTTGCCCAAAGTCATGCCCCTTTTCAGCACAGCCCACATCCAGTGACAACAAGGGTATAAATACCTGGCCTCAGCTCATTTCAGGACAATTCCGAAGGGCCATTCTCTCTTCAGAGCTCCCCTAGGGGTTAGCAGAGATTATCATAGACCTGTATGGAAGTTCAGCTTGTCTCCTCCCTTCTACAGATGTTGATCCAAAGAGCACTTTTTAATAAACATCCTGCATGCTAAACTGAGTCTGCTTCCTGGGAAAGCCAACCTGCAAGTGTGCTAATCCTGGTGGCCAAGGCTTTAGGACAGGAAACGACAGACTCCTTGGCAGTTTCTATCATTTGTTTCCAAGCATTGGAGGTGTTGATGCTTTTTTTTTAATGTCCACCAGAGGGCAGCAGCATCAAAGCAACGTGCCCTCCGGAGGCTTAGCGAAGTGGGCTGAGGACTTTTTCCGGTCCCCTCTCCCCTCCCACCACAAGTGTCAGTATTAGGCAGGATCCCTCCCTTAGTGTGTCCACCCTCCTGTCTAAGGGGAGAAAACTTTCTGAAACTTTCTAGACCTTAATTTTGTCAATCTCAACACCCCCAG